CACGAGACCGGAAGCCGGAAACCGTTCGGAGAAATAAAGATCGGCACTATTTCTCCGAACGTTCGGAGAAATAATAGTCACTTCGTTAAATCAAAGTAAGCTAGATTCTAGAGATCTAGGCCTTATCATGTAATTTTTTGGCATATTTGTTTTCTTCCATGGCAGTAATCGCAAGAATTGGTTTTCTTCACCCACCTCTATTGGGTGTATAACAATTGACTAAGAAGTAGGCTGTTGTTGATTACCTTTGTTATTGGGATGATCAAGAAAGTTCTTGAAATGGGTGACTAATTCATGATTCCTGACACGCCCTCCTTTAGATATCATGAAGTATAAAACTTCATCACGCTGAAAATCACTCATTTCTTAATGTCAAAGGAAATAATTCATTTGAATAAAATTGCAACTGTAAAACAGCTTTGACGTTTCAGTGTCAGCCCGTGGTTGAGACAGCTGCAGAAAAAGTCAGTTTAGATCACAGGCAGATACTTCCTTGTTGACATATAAAGAGGAAACGGAAATACGTTAGTCCTGGCAATGTATATAACGAATATCGACCAATGATTGGAAATAAAGAGAAGAGAAAAAGCTTGTGACCTCTCATATTATATCAAAAGAGCAATATTTATTTTGAATTTTGCTTTTTAAGTTTCACAGACTTTATATTTCTATAATTTGCTGCGACAACCACAAGAGAAAATATTATTTCGTACAAATAAAGTTGCACCACTACGATTCAAATCAACAATGTTCTACTAGGTTATCAGACAACAAAATAACGGTTCATTTTAGGGCCTTGTCTGAGTTTGTTTCGTCACCGGTCACAGAATTCTACACTAAGTGTAGAATTCTGTGTCACCGGTGCAAAGAAGGCTGGATAAAAATAAATTAGCATCATTTTGGTTATATCATATTTTTTAAATGAATATATTATTTGAGAAACAGACAGAACTGCAACAGTTTTTTCTGTAAAAAAAAAAAAAAGAGCTGTCCGTGTGTGCGGAACTGCATTCGCATCAACATTAGTTTGTTTGAAAATGGCGATCTTCGAGATATTTTCTCACCCGGAGCTGAGGCGCTATAAAGCGTCCGTATTTTCCAAGGCCACACTTATGATGTTGGTTATACTTATTCTTACATTTATTCCACCCTTACTTGTGGTCTATCGAAGTTATGGTGAGTTATTTGTTGTTTTCTTCGCATGCTCTCTTTTGTTAATCAATCTTACGAGACTAGAATAGACATGTTTATTCTTGAATTCCTGTGATTTTGATCGTGATAATCGAGATCTAGGCCTACTAGACCTAGACTTCTTAAACCGTCGTTTAGGACACTCTAAAATAGAAAAAAAACCCAAATAATCTAACAGATTTCGTGTCACTGTTATCTGAGCGTCTACAATGCATAGGGGCCAAAAGTGATAGTTTTGTGACTCTTTCTGGTTATAATTGGGAGGCTTTATAGAAGCACTCACATCTAACTGAACTAGTTCCTTGCTTTCCGCTTGGCGTAAAAGCCAGAAAAGGAAATGCTGCTGCACATGGTAACTTGTGATAGCTCCGTTAAGCATTGCTGTTCACTGGTCAGTTATTTCATAGGCTAATCAACCTGAATGCGACAATCGAAGTATACTTAAAAACTCTTTAACCATGTCTGGACGGTGGCAGCGTCCGGTAGTCGAGGTCCGTAACCATAGCTGGACGGTACTACGGTCCAATGGGAAGTTATTACTGTATTATGGTACGGGCTGAATTTTTAAAAGTACGAGTTAACAAGCCTTTAGTTTGACCCCGAAGTCAAAGATAAAATGAATTCTACATCTGGGTAATACTTTATTAAAATCAGTTTGACACGAAACTAGCGGTTTTAAAAACACAATATGTCGGGTTGCATTTCCACAGACCTGAGAGAGTTTTATGGGGAAACGTGATATTAAATTGCATGGTTAAAGAGTTAAAACTCTTTCCAGACATAATTATTTTGGGGCATAGATGTAATTAACTTGTGGCTCGATTTGGCTGTACAGATGATGTACAAAATAACTTCATATAAGCATAGCCATCACTCAAACGGAAACATATGATATATATAGATATACATCAAATTGAAAGAAATTGAATGAGGAATACATTGCTTAGCAATGACAATGAAAAATTAAATTTTCATCCAAATTGCTTTAAAATGGGCTTTTATGAAAATAGAGTAAATTCTAAGAAAATTTTTTAATTTTAAAAATCCATAGATTAGCAATGCCCACCGAGCGCATTTTGTTCTGCCGATTTTTGGCCCCCGCAGCGGGGGTGTTTCATGGGACGCACTAACGCAATGGTTGTTGTCTTCAACTCGCTCTCACGCCGCTTCTCGTGAATGGATATGAATGAAACTTGGCAGCCAATCAGAAAAGAGGTCAATCTCGTAGTATGCAGTTTGACAACATTGTACCCATCCTAGAAGCAGTCGAAAACGTTTGCGAAAGTGGTTGATGTGGTGCGCTTTGAAGGTTTTTCGGAGCTGTGATTTGTCAAACTGACTGATACGTTGTACACCATTTTTCTTTATTCCCTTAAAATTTCATGCTTCTGTGTTTAGCGGTTTTGGCGTAATCTTTAAAAATGTGGGAGTAACTAAGGAAAAAAGCGACATTGCCATTTGCTCGTGCTGGGTGAACGGCCGGCGGCGTGGAAATTTCCACTGAGTGACGTCATCAGCCATCGGTCGCCTCGGGCGCTACAAACGAGGCCCCGCTTATGTGAAATGGAAAGGGGGGGAAGGATACTTGAAAACTAAACGGGGGCCTTGATAACTTGCGTTTTTGTTGCATTTTAGTCACAATACAATAGATGTAGTCATTTTTATTTGCTTGATTGCATGACAGAAGAATAGAAACAGAAAAGCAAACATCTTGAGAAGTGGTATGGCATTGTGTTTGCGTTATGAAAGCCTATTCCACCCTCTTGGGAAAGCACACACTTGGACTCGTCCTGTGTGCTCTGTTTGGAAAAGTGAGGCATTAAGATTGTTATTAAAGAGTATGGTACTTATTTAGTCCAGTCTGGGAAGATAGTCCCGTTTATACATTGTTATCGTTCACGCGTGCGTGCGTGAGTGCGCGCGCGTGAGAGAGAGAGAGAGAGAGAGAGAGAGAGAGAGAGAGAGAGAGAGAGAGAGAGAGAGAGAGAGAGAGAGAGAGAGAGAGAGAAGGGGGGGGGGGGTGTAAATATGTTACATTTATTGTATGAGTTGTAGCCTACACATGCGAAATATTCCCATGACTTGTAAACTATATTATCTGAACGCACCTTAATCTACCACACAATAGGACACTGTCCAACAATGGATATACACAGAGACGATCTTATTTTCTATAACAAAGTATGCATGCTTTTACTAGTACAAAACTGGATTTATTAGTAGCTCTCTACTTACATTTTTGTGACAAATTGATCCAGAATATTGCTTGGCAAGGAAGAACCTTTTATGTTGCCAAGTTTCATTCAAATATCATGACTTTGGGAGAACATATGACTGATAATCTTTGTAAATCTGTAAAGAACGCCACTTTTTTACCTGTTAATGTCTTTACAACTCAAAAAGTGTGACAGATATTAAAAATCTGACTGCATGACTAAATTCTGCATTAAAAAATGTACTAGACTGCCAAGTTTCATTTACATATTCCAAGAAATAGGCGAGCTATGACAAATATTGTCTCAAAACGAACCGAAAAAGGCCAACATTTTTACCTATAAACGTCTTCATAACTCAAAAAATAGGATAGCCATGAAAAATCTGAAAGCAGGACTAGATTCTGCACTAGAAAATGTACTGGGTTGCCAAGTTTCTTTTAAATACTCAGAGAAATGAGCGAGTTATGACGAATATTGTCTCAAAACTCACCAAAGAACGTCCCATATTTTGGGGTTTTTTCATTATATAAAAGTGTACCAGAAATTAATTGATTAAAAAATCCGTAACTTTTTTGTTTATTGATGGATTTTAAAAATTCAAAAAGTTCTATGCTCAGTGAAGATAAAGCTACAAAATGCACCTAAATGCAAACATTTTCTGGCAAAAAAAAGATTTTCGTGGTCATTGCTACATAGATAAATAAAAAAGATATTGGGATTTTTGTTTGACAAAATGTTGGGGGACCTTCATATAGGAAAATATCGCCAAAATGTGGGACATGTCTTGATGTATTTTGAGGAAAAACTGTTCATAAGTCAGTAATGAATTGGAGTATATGAACGAAACTTGGCATCTTCAGTGCAGAATCTAGTTCTGCTATCACTATTTCGATGTCTTTATTACTTTGGATCTTAAAGACTGATATTTGCGTGAAATTTGTTGAATTGCATGATATCGTTTTTACTGCAACGCGATCAGTCCTTCTAAAACTCAGTAAAGCAGTATCGGGAAAACCCGCAATGAAGTCATTGGTGACCTTTAGTTATAGGCAGCCAATCACATGCCGCTTAGCGATCATCCGCCTCTTGCATGCCGGCACCTCGCGTTCGGAATGCGTGATCTAGTTTCCAGCTCTAGTCTTTTATCAATGGATGGGTTGTAATTTTAAGTTGGTACGTAAAATGTACTAAATGCAGAGATCTGAAATTTTACAGCAATAAAGAAGACATGTGGGGTGCCTGTATAGTCGGCGATCAACCCAGCAGCTCCGCTTAGCTTTCGAACCGCAGAGGAAATTCGCACAAACACGGCAATTTCTCCGGTTCTAGTAATCGTTCGGGATTGTACGCTGGCATGTCGTTAGTTTAACCTTTCCTCTGATTAGTTGCCCAGTTTAATTTATTTTCGTCCTCGAGTTTTCCCGTAACTATACATAGAAGAGATTCACTTCTGATTCCGAGCGGCCCAAAAATTACCCCTCGTGCGGAGGCCGATTTCCGGCCCAAGGCGCAGTGGCCGATTGGCATTGCTACATTGCTTATTTACAGCATTTCTATTTGTGGTACTGCCAAAAGTGATACGTCAATGTAGGCGGGAAAAAATGACGCATTTGCTAAGTGCAAAAATTTTCCATTAGCTTCTAGGACGGCTTAGTTCTTATCTTGGAGAGCGGATTGGTTGATGCAAACCCGAGTTTTGTCGAACAGCCGTCGAAATTTCTACCATGTCATCTTCAGAAGGTTGAAGAAGTTACCCAAACTCCACCAAATTTTTCAACCAATGAGAAGTAAGGTCAAATTCTAAGCTCCGACCTTGTGGGTCCGAATCGAGTGTAAACAGTGGAGATATCGTGTCATCTCTATTAACTTTGCGGTTTCTTTTTCTGACAAATACTAGTTCTTTGGGCATTTGGATTGCCCCCACGACCACATGGATAAAGATAGATTAAGATCTAATACTATTGATGCCTTATGAATCAAAGAAAAAATGCCTTTTTAGAGCGTTAAAGTTAATGCATTTCAATTTTTGTCACCCTGCCGAAAGCCCCGAGGAACACTCGAGTGTGCGTGGGAATTCTTTGTGAGGCGAGGTATGTGGCATCATGGCCTTGATAAAGCGTGCCGGTTCATGGGCCGCTATTTTTGAGAGCCCCAATGGCTAGGAAAATTCCCCCTGATAAAAGGAAAGAGGCATACAATGCGTACAACGTTAGGGATCAGCTTTGCTTTTAAAGTTTAGATTTTTTGGGTGGATTTTACAGCTTTTTTTTGTCTTCTGTATTTTTCCTATAGTCCAGATCTTCTGGTAATTTTGAGAGCCAAGAGTTGGGTATGTATTAATTGTGGACACCACTGCCACTATTCTTAATGAATGACTAATGATAAAGAGCGGACAGTTCACTATTGTTCTTTTCAAGAACCTGAATTCCTATTTTGAGATCATGTGCAAAATAAAGGATAAAGGGGGGGGGGGGTAAATTTTTTCTTTGCGAAAGTGCAAAACTTTACTCTATGCTATCAATTCATAAAATTAGTCTTACTCTTGCACATAAAACTTTTCTATCTTAAATATTATTTCTTTTAGATCAATGATATTATTAAATACTTGACAAATTTCAAGGTTTCCTTTCTTTTTTTTAAAGAACATTGGTAATGTAAAGTTTTTGGGGAACAAATGTGTATGTCTCCTCCTGACTGCCACTCAAGTCTTTGTCCATTTTGTCCTGTTCTCTACATGAGTGGCTTCAGTTTCACTTGGGCCTTCCTGATA